TATATATATATATATATATAACGTTATATTAAAAGCTGTACGGCATTAGTTGAATGTATGAACAGGGTAATAGTAGAGATTATTTTTCAAAATAAAAGCCAGGTTTACAAATAAACTTTACAAATAAACCCTTACAACAACAACCAAAATAATAAATAAATAATCCACCATGATAGCCAGAGTATCCACCGTTATATTCAATACAGTACTGTAGTAATTTGCAGTAATAACAACTGTAGTACTAATGGCACTCGGATGAAATATAACGTAATTGTTTTTTATGTAACGTTAAAGAAAGTTACATCTGTAGAGCTGAGCATAAACCGAAAAAGCAAATCGCATTTATTTATTTTAAAGGTATTTTCATTTATATCACACAAATTAAAAGGATATTTTTTAGGTTTTCTGACCGTAGGAACCCTACTTGTTCAATAGACAAGCAATGCTTTGTGTCACTTTTGTTGTATATATTGCTTATGTAATGATGTCTAGTTGAAGATGAAGAATACTGTCCAAAAAAAAATGCTTTTAAGCTATTATTGAATAATATCTCCTTTTGGTGACATGGTTTCCGTTTGGTGGGTGGATCAGCTAAAAATATGTTTTTATGTTGTTGTTGTTGCTATTTTTTATTTCCTCTTATTTTTCATGGACGGAACGAAAAATGACACGTCTGTGTTCTAGCCGGAGCTCTGAATCAGCCAATCAGAAAACAGCATCGTCGGAAATGTCCATGAAACTCATCCTGACCTAAAACGATGCGAATGTGACTTTTGTCACTCTCTTATGTGTGTACCGATGTTTTAGGACGTAACGTGATTTTCGCTTGATCTTTTTATTGTCTTGTGGACATATTAAAGATTCAAAGTGGGAAAGTCGAACTAAATTACTAGACTAACGTATACTAAAAGCAGTTAACTCGTTATTTTGCAATCAAAGCACCGTTATCTGCCCAGTTTATGATTATTTATGTAACGTTAGCCTAGTGTGAACTTCACTTGGTTGTGCATTATAGAGGTTTAACCTGTGGCACTGCAGTGTAAGTCAGGGGTAGTTTAAGACCAGCAGCTGTCAACTTGCACTCAGTCAGAACCGCTGTGTGTAAATGGCAGAGCACGAACTCTTTCAGTACTGTTTGTGTTGTGTTTAAACGGAGAATAATCAGATGGACTTCACGGAGTGCTATGGAGACACCTGCTCAGCCGTCGCGCTGGCAGCCCGGGAGGGGAAAGGTCGTCGGGTGCAGAAGCTCATCCAGAGAGGCTTCGCGGTGGACGTGAAAGATAACCGGGGCTGGAACGCCCTGCATGAGGCTGCGGCGGCTGGATCAGCGGAGTGTGTGCGGCTTCTCCTCCCTGCAGCCGGTAAGAACTTTAGATGGGGGGGTTTAGCAACTCTGAACTTGTGGACCATCAAATAGAGTGACCTGTTTAGACAAGGAAGGGATAGTTCACATAGAAATGCAAATTCTGGCATCATTTACTCAACCTCATGTCCCTACTGGAAAAACCTGCTACACCAGCTCAAGCTGTGTTTTGGAACATGGTAGCTGGTTAGACCACCCATATCCAGCTTATGCTGGGGGCTGCATTTTTCAATGATAGATTCATCTTTTCAGGAGCTAGTTATTGATGAATAATTATTAACAATAGTTTTTAACAGCTTCCAGTTACAATGCATGTCCTAAGCCTGTTCTGCTTTAAGAAAGGAGCACAAAAACAGACATTTAGGAGAAGAATTCAGTTTATTTATGTGAATATCATTCAACAATCTTCATTAAAACATTCATTCATTGTTTTTTGTGTCCTTGAATCTATATGAGAAAAATTACTTGGTGTAATTAACGGCAGTAATAACCTAACAACTTAACTACGAACTACTAACAGTTTTCAGCAGCTTACGTAACATGAGAATTCACTTATTTGACTTAGTGTTTTTGTTGATGTCTTGAATTTTTTCTGTTAAATAGCGCCCAAGTTTTCCTGCTCTGGCCTTAAGCTCCGCTTCCTCCAAATCTTTGCCCTGCAACCACTTTTGAAAGAAACCTAGCAACAAAAAATAAAGACACGGCTGATCAATCAATTGCACAGGAAATACAATCAACAGATTACATGAACAGAATAAAAGTCAGAAACATCTAGTAGAGAGCAGATCTTTTGTTTGCTAGTAGCATCTCATAAACCTCCATTTCCACTATCAAGGTAAATGGTTACTGTTTTTATGCTGATCCTATAATGACGCTGATTGTTTCTTTTTCAATTGTGGTGCTGTGAAAGCAGCATTAGAATGGACTGACTGAGCAAATGACGTATCGCAAATTCTGCAAAGAACACAAATTTGTGGCCAGAGCTGTTCATCAGCCTAGTGATAGAAAAGTGTCTATACTATATAATAACAAATTCTAGATTATCAAACGAGAATGTATACAACAGTTATACATATCAGCACTCTCGGTCAATCATCGTTCCAAGAAAAAACATTTAACATTTACATAATTCTCTAAAGTTCACACAACACTTACCTTTAAGTGCTCTAAATTTGTGAGGTGTCAGAGGGGGCCTAGGATCAGATTTTGTGGTGGGGCAGCTTTTTCCTTCCAGGCTACGGTTGGCCAGTGTGCTTGTTCCCCAAATGCACACTGCCAGTTCTTTCACAAACAAGCTGTCCTTTAAATTAGCCTGTATCTTCTTCCATTTTTCACTGTGTATTACTACATCACCAATATCAACCTGTATGAAAATGTAAACATTATCAAGAAATGTAACAGAATTATTATTTTTTATTCTTGATGTAGGGCCTATAATCAACAAATAAATTTGTTTTGTTTTTTACTTTTTGATGTACTGTTACAAAGAGTGTCATTTTATAGGAAAGATTGAGTTTGGCTATCACAGGGAAGTTATCTCAGTCTCAAGACAATCACCAAAAAAAAAAACCTTGACTCAAAATCTGAATTACACATGTTACAATTGTGTGTTTTCTTTAGGAGTTGTTGGATTCAAACAATCAACTCTCAAATCACAGATTAAAACTCTCCTACATTACAACAGTATCTTCAGTCCTGCTCCTGTGGACACGCTGTCCTGCAGAGTTTAGTTACAACCCAAGTCAAACACACCTAAACCAGCAAGTCATCTTTGTGCTTCAGGATTACTTGAAAAAAATTACAGGCCACCTGTGCTGAAGCAGGTTGGAAATAAAATTCACAGGACAGTGGGTCCCCAGGAGTAGGATTGAAGACCTAGACAACAGTTTATTTCAAAATTCAGAGTAATATTTTTGTTGCTTTTATGTACAGAAGTGCATAATATTATACCACACTTTTATATGATGTAATTTTATACAATTTATTCATTACAATATTGTTAGAAGAATAATATTCTGATTTTTGTGTACATTATTTCCCAAAAATTTCCCAGTTTCATAAATTTCATGAATCTTACTATGTATATTGTGCTGTTACCAAATATGTTTAATGGCAGGTTTCATAGCATATTGTGAGAAAATGTCTCCCTTTGGTATGTTCCGTTAATATTGAATTTTCAGTCGTTTTTGTAGGCTTTGAGATAAATGCCCAAATGAAAAAATACTTAAACCATCCTAGAGAAATACACTGGAATAAGACGTAACAAGTAGTCCCAGTCTCTCCTATATATACTATTTAATTAAATAAATACGTACCTCATGGTTTTCTGAAATTTGTTTTGATAGGTAACAACAGCAGAACTGTTCTTTGTGGGAAAGGGTGTAAAGTTAGGGACTTGGAGTCCTTATAACAATTTGACCAGATTAAACATATGGACAACTGGGTCAAGGGGCACCACACAATACATTTTTGCCTGTTCAAAACTTTTTTGTTTTCGATTTAATGGCTATTAAAAACTTTGTGATACTACCACATGGTAATGCCAACTGTGTGCTGTTCCAGAAGTAGTATGGATGATATTTATACTGAAATAAAGATAATGAAAGACTTCACTTGCCATTGGATTGAAATGTTGATGAGCAGTGCTACATATTAAACTTGTCAGGGTGCACCCCTGGATGTGATGCCATTGAGAATATGCCAAGTTGTCCATAAGGCTAACCTGGTCCTGTCACCAAGTCTTTTTACCATCCTTAATACTAATACTAATACTAATAATATTAATTGTGATTGATTAAATAAAAAAAGTTCTGCAAAGGTCATATCATTAAAATCTTACCAACTGCTGTTTGAGGGTTCTTTATATTGTCTAAAGGAGGACTGCTCTCTGCATAGAATCAAACAAATGGATCATGATTTTCAATACATACAAAACAATTCTGCAAACTTATGAATAACAAGCACTGCAAGTTTTCAAGAGTGCTGGAAGTAGAGAAGACATTGAAAAATAAAGGGAAAGTTTATAAATGTAATAGGTTTTTATTAATATTGATACATTTCTTATTTTTTCCTTCTCATTATTACTATTATTAATATTATTATTCCAAACAATATGTATGACTTATTTAATTAAAGCACAAAAGGACATACTTGGCAAAATGTTCACGCAACTCGTTTCCATTGCACGTTAAATTATAAACCAATGGGGAATGGGACCATCAATCTCAACAACAGACGTAATTGTGCGAGAATGTTTATCTTTACCACTTGTGCACCACATTGCAAGTTTTGTGTGAAACGAACTGAAATTTCAGTTGTCATTCTTGAAAACGTTCTCCTTCTGGTACAGACAAGTGAATTTTTTTTTTCTCTGGTTTTTTTTAATGGTTATTATCGTTAACCAAAACTATTTTAAAACAATTTGAAATAAAATAAAGATTAACTGAAAAAAAATATTAAAAACAAAAATTTTATTTTATTTCAGCATTTCTAATTCGTTTTTAGTACTAAAATAACTAAAACTGTAATAAAAATAAAAATATTTTTTAGAAGCATTTAAAATAATAATAAACATGATAGAAATGTCTTGTTTTCGCAGAAGAAACCAAATCAGTCAAATAAATCAAATCAATACAGTTTTAATGAAAGGATGAGTAAATGACAGAATATCATTTTTGGGTGAACTAAAGATTATTATAATAACTAAGATTAGTTATTAAAGATTAATAGTCGGGTGAACTATTAAATACCAATAATCAGAGCTCTTTTGACACTCTAGTATGTGTAGTAATTATTAAACTGTATATGTGACTTTTTTCTCTAATGTGCAATTCATTAGTTGTATGTCCCTTTTCGCTTCAGTCAATTGCGAAGACTACGTCAACACTTTGACACATAACTCAGAGACTCCTCTTTACTTTGCTGCGAGGAATGGACACCTCCGGGCAGTGAAGTGGCTTATCAAGGGTGGTGCGGACATTAACAGGACAACCAATGAGCTCTCCTGTCCCCTCTTTGCAGGTAGAGTACCTAGGATCATGGTCTCAGATCTTGTTTACCATGTGTTTTTTTCTTCTTTTGAGTCTTGTTATATGTTATGTATGTCTCATTTTTTCATTCCTAGCTGTAGATGGTGGGCACGAAGATGTGGTGGAGCTGCTGGTGGAAAATGGGGCAAAAGTCAATGGGACGTACTCGGTGTCAGGCTGGTCTTGTCTCCATCAAGCTGTTTACAAGGTTATAGCTTTAATCTATAACTAATTTATGATTTACGAAGCTTTTATGTTTTGGAAACATTTGCCCAGACACTACATTCACATGCCTTAAAGGGGTCCTATTATGCTTTTTCACTTTTTCAACTTTAGTTAGTCTGTAATGTTGCTGTTTGAGCATAAAAAAGATCTGCAAAGTTACAAACCTCAAAGTCCACTTCAAAAGGAGATATTTTATTTAACAGAAATCACTTGCATTACAATCACATATTTTCCGGGATTTGTGATATCACAAAAATCGACGAATGGGACGAGACCTGGTTGAGCTGCACTAGAGAAGGCAACAATGTTATCATTGTCGGAGACACTAGCTTTCCCAAGGCAGACGAACTTAGAGTGGTTACAATCATCCGGGTTTAAATCGCGCTCAAATTGATTTGATTTTGACGCAATATTTACACCGAAGCTCGCAGCAGGCGGCTATGGTGAGGGGCATGACATTTCCCGACTAGGCGCCAAGTGCTGCCAATCACAACACACACTGGCCCAGCTAACCAATCACAACACACACTGGCCCAGCTAACCAATCACAACACACACTGGCCCAGCTAACCAATCACAACACACACTGGCCCAGCTAACCAATCACAACACACACTGGCCCAGCTAACCAATCACAACACACACTGGCCCAGCTAACCAATCACAACACACACTGGCCCAGCTAACCAATCACAGCACATTTCGTATTTCAGAAGGCGGGCCTTCATTTGATACAGGAACTATTGGAGCCGTTCATGCCAGACTGGGGAGAGAGGTGTTGTAATAATGTAAAATATGTGAAAAATAATGTGTTTTTCGACCTAATATCTAGTATGAGAGCCTGTTCTAGTACACCCCCAAAACAAAATCAAGACTTTGTAAAAGAGCATAATAGAACCCCTTTAAGAAGTTCTGCAGCTCTTCTCACTCACTTCTAAGTGTAAATGCTTATCAGTTATCAGGAAGAAACACATAACAATCAAATGATTATGTAGCTCGTTGTGACTACTTTTAAATTTATACCTCTTTCAATAAATTTTATACTAAATGTTTAATTGAACTTCAAAAAATGAAAGCCCAAGGCCATTTAGCTTTATTTCTAATTTAATCAAGATTTTAAATCCTACATCCAAGGCAGTTACCAAAGTCTTTAATCAAAAACTGATGAAATAAATATCTGTAAAACCATTTCCAGGGCCATACTGAGATTGTGAGGTACCTTGTGAGCATGTGCTCTCTGGAGGCTGTTGATGACTATGGGATCACATCATTATTTGTTGCTGCGCAATATGGACATCACCAATGCTTGGAAATTCTTGCAAATGCCGGTGAGAACATTTCTTTAATGATTAACCCTGTACGAGCTGCAGCTAGCCAGCTATATGCTTCTCTTTTTGTACATTACATACTTTGGTCAATGTTCGGTGTTAACTCTTGCAACATCAGAGTTATCGCTACTGTATCCACAGTGCTGTTTACAGTGACACATTCTTCAGAGGCAGATAAAGAGTTTGAATGAAGGGTCAATGACATGCCGCTCATTTTTGTTCAGATCTATTAATTTATTCAAAAATGCAATTCATACATACAGAAACTTGAATACAATCTTCGAGTATGTTTTTAATTTCTGAATTAGACAAAGTCAGATCTAATCTTGATCTAGTAATGAAGAAAAAAATCTCTTTAAGCAAATAAAATTATCCAAAGGAAAACTTTATGTAGTTTGGTTGCATTGCTGCTTATTAATATTTAAAAACTGTCAGCTAAAGTAAAGTCATGGCAAATCATTTATATTGTGAAGACCCCTGCAGACCCTTGTGACTCTTTGACAAAGTCAATAAGTCTCTTAAAATTACAAATTTGAGCTTTTTAGTTTTTTTTAGCAAGGTTAGTTTATGTTGTAAAATGTCATGTGGTGTGACTTCAAAATATATAATTGTTAAAATAGAAAACTTTTTTTAAAGGGTTCATATGATGTTGCTAAAAATACAGCGTTGCTGAAACGCGTCGATTTTTACAAAGCTCATCGGTCTGAAAAGCGAGGTGTGCTCTGATTGGCCTGCTATCCAGTGTGTTGTGATTGGCCGAATACCTCAAGCGTGTGATGGAAATGTTACGCCGCTTACCATACTGTGAGGCTGTGTCCAGGAGCGACGAGACAAAAACATTAAAAACCATAAATGAGGCATTTGTTGCATCCAGTGGGGACATAATTACTGATTATAATGACTTATACGGTCTTTTTATGCATTGCCTTGCATCGCGCCGCATAAACATAAAACCATGTCTGCATTTGTGATCAGAGAAATGACAAACAACAAGTGCTACTCTACACTCCTCAAAACTCGCGTTTGAATCATCAGTGGCAAATCCTTTAAATATGAAAACGTACTTACAGTCTGTGAGTCAGAACAGCCGGCATTGTAGTCTGCTCTACCAGGATCAGGAAACAGTTCTCCATCAAATGCTCTGCACACATCTGAATATTTGGGTTGAACTGTTCTGGAACAGTGTTGTAAATACAACTTAGCCACTGATTTCAAGTCGTGTCCTCTTTTGGAAGGCCAAACAAAATATTTTCGCTTTCGCAACGAAACACACAGCATCTTCACAACATGGCAGCGGCAGCAACAATAAAGTTATGCCGGCTTTCTTTTCGTGAACATTTGGGCGGTGTTATGCAAATCTTCCCACACAGTGACGTAGACATGTGGGGGCGTGTTTAAACGAGGCGTTTTAGGAGGGCATGGACCAGTCTTAACTTTTATAAAGAATATCTCTTTGGGTTTGAGACTTTAGTCTTTGCAACTTTAGGGATCTTATCTATTCACGAACAGCTTGTAACACTCCAAAGAGAAAGGAAAACTTGAAATCGCATCATATGACCACCTTAAATTGTACTAATATTTCACAATATTACTGTTTTAGTGTATTTTTGATCTAATGAATACAGCCTTGTTGAGCATAAGACTTCTTTCAAAAACAGAAAAATCTTACCAACCCCACATTTTGAACATTTTTGGTAGTGAATGTGTATATCATGCAACATATATTTTATAATAATAATAATTTATGCATTTAGCAGACGCTTTTATCCAAAGCAACTTAAAGTGCATTCAGGCTATACATTTTTACCAGTATGTGTGTTCCCTGGGAATCGAACCCACAACCTTTGTTGCGCTGCTAACACAATGCTCTACCACTGAGCCACAGGAACATGTAAATTGGAACAGGGAAATTGTTTAATTTTTTACATGATAACTACATTTCAGTCATTACAATTAAATTCAAATATAAAAGTTCATGAAATCATATGAAACCAAAATGAATACAATAACGACATTTATAAAACTTGGCATAACCTATATTTTTGAAAGATTAATTTTCTTTATGGTGGACATTGTTATTAAATTAAGAAAAAAAGCAACACTGCAGTAATGTATTAGAGTTTGATTGCCTAAGCACAGGTTGTCATTGCCACAGGGGCGAATGTGAACTGCCAGGCAAACGATCTGGCCACACCGCTGCTCATTGCCGCTCAGGAGGGCCACGTACGGTGTGTGGAGCTTTTGCTGGCCCATGGAGCTGACCCCAACCTGTACTGCAATGAGGACTGCTGGCAGCTACCCATCCATGCTGCGTCCCAGTTCAGTCGGCTTAGGTATGGCAATGACGTACTGGGTCTGCCAAATGGTTACGAAGACCATGCAACATTTACTTTGTATAATGATACACACATTTGAAAGCTAACCTTTAGTACTTTTTAAACAAAGATGTTGAGAGTGTAACTTTGGCCTTTTTGAAATAATTTTTGCTAAACTGCTTTAATCTGGCTGCTCATCTCTTGTCGTTCTCTATAGTATTTTAGAGAAGCTGATTCCGGTAACGAAGCGAGAATGTGACCGGGGCGAGGGAAAGGTCAGTCCAGTTTATTTGGCAGTACTTAGTGGGCAAGCGGACAGCCTGCGGTCCTTGCTAAAGAAGGGCTACAGTCCAGATGCCCAAAGCTGTCGACAGTTTGGCTACAGCTGCCCTTTGGACATGGCTCTGTGGTGCAACTCTTGGAAGTATGACATAGATGTACACTTGTGTCCCTCTTTTTATTTTAAACACAATTAGTTGGATAGTATGACATATTTTTTCCTGTTCGTCTCTCAGTTTGAACAGCGAGTGTCACCAGATTCGTGAAATCACTCTGATGCTCTTGGCAGCAGGGGCCCATGTGAGCATGGGCATCTATGCCTTTGCATTACAGGGCCACGTACCAGAGCACCTGCCCTTGATCCTAGAGCACGCTGGCCTCCCTCAGGGTGACCGACTGGAAGAACTGGCCCGTAGAGCCCTTGCTGAGATGCAGAGCGCCTCTTTCTGGCTCCCCCTGCTGCTCAAAGCAGGAATGGACCCCATGCTGCTCCTGCAGGACAAAATGTAAGCAACACATTGTGGTTGTTGTGCCACACAGGTTTTTATTTTAATCATGAGTGGATTCACCATGCGTGCCTTTTAATAAACGATTGTGCATTATTAACGTCAGAGTTAAAAAAACACTGTGTTAAGCTCTTCACTTCTGCCTGTTATGCTCTAATTGGGTGCAGGCTTGAAGAAGCTGAGAACAGAGTGCTTAATTTCTTTCTGGAGTTCATTAATTGGAAGACTTTGCCCTCCTCAATGCTTCAGATTCTCTCTCACCGTCGAGCAGATGGCACCTGGACGCCACAGAAGCATTTCGGTATGACCTGTACACTTTAAATCATATATATGTGTAGGTTTCATGACTTCAGGTGTTTTTCAGTGTATCCAACAGCATGTTGCATATGTCAAATATTTGCATTATATTTGGAATCATTTTGTTGGTAATATGAAATTAAGCAACATAGTGAATGATTGTATTACACCTTTTTTTGTCCATTAAGTTACCTAAAGAGTAACATAGTGAATAATTTCATTACATTTTTTGAAGTTTTCTAAAGAGTTTCTGCATCATAGTTGATGAGGTCAATTTATTTTTTGGAATCATTTTCAATGGTTTCAATGAACCAAATTAAAAGCAACAACAAAATGTTTATGCAGTTTAATACTATGTATTTTATATAGATGCATATCAGTGAAAAATGTAATGTATCATTCTTCCATGATTATTTTCATTTGAATCTGTTTAAAATATAGGGCTGATTGAAATGTTTTGTTCCCCTGATGGGGGAAAAACATATTTAAGTAATTTAAGTAATTTATGGATATTTGATAGATATTTAATGATATTCCAAATATATTTTATATATTTATAAGGCTGCATTTATATGGTCAGAAATTGTGAAATATTATAACACTTGAATTTTAATGTAATTTATTCCTGTGATAGTCTTCAGTGTCACACAGTTTTTCATAAAAAAATAGAATATGCTAATTTGGTACTCAAGAAACACTTTTATTATTATTATCAGTTACCATATTTTTTGTGGAAACCATGATATACATTTTTTCAGGATTCTTTATTAATAGAACATTCAAAAGAACAGCCTTTATTTGAAATGGGAATCTTTTGTAACAATGTAAAAGTCACTTTTGATCCATTCAATGTGTCCCTGCTGAAAAAATTGTCAAAAATTATTTTTGAACAAATAACTCTTGTCCTACTGCATTAGCTGTGTCATCTGATGTGGTAAGTGGCCACAGCTCTGTAACCTTTTGCTTTTGGTTGTAGAATCAGTCCCTGCCCTCACCCATCTGTGCAGACTGGCAGTGCGGGCAGCGGTGGGCAGCAATGCTCTGTCTAAGACCTCCTTTATCAAACAGCTGCCCATCCCCACACTGCTTCAGGACTACCTTCAGTTCAGCGACGTCCCAGGCTTGCTTACATAGCGGCCTGACAGGCATGTGTGGCTAATTAAGTTATCTCAACTTGTTCCACTGCAGTATTTTGTATATAATGTTAATAAAATTTTAATGACTGCTCAATGACGCTGGACTCTTTTCATTACCTTGATATTTAGAAAATGTGGGAGGACAAATGGAGAATTCCACCAATTTATCTTCACTGTTCTGTTCCCCTCTTACACAGCTGGCCTTCATACTGAGTTGGTGTTGAAATTCACCTCTGCTCCGTGTCTTTGGTCTGCCTCGTTATCTTCTCTCTCTCTCAGCGGCTCTCCTCTCTGTCTGCCTCCAAGGTCACTCTGCCTCAAAAACGCATACTCTCCTCGAATGTTAATTGCCAACGCAGCCACACTCATTCAGAGATGCTACTATCTGCCTTTGGTCATACTATGTATTTAACATTTTATGTTACCTTTTAGGAATATGCATAGCACACCTTCAAAAGCCTCTTAATTTAAAATCGTCTGTATCTCTGCTGCATGATGCTCTCAACCTCTTGCTGTTTTGTGAATAGAGTCGTACCTTTATGAACAGGCAGTTAATCTGTTTCTATTTCACACAGACCCAATGTTCCAGTATTTTACATTTTTTTCTACAGTACATATCCTGGCAAATTGTTTTTAACACCTCTTTAACATCAATTATGGAAAGACCAACTGATGCTTGCATAATTGTGTTACAAAAATCATGTTATATAACATCGTGGTGTTCCTTATTTTCAAGCCATTTCTTTTGGAATACTGTATACCATGTGCAAACAGCAGGGGGAGAACACGGATAACTGACAGCTTAACCGCCAGTCCTACCTACACTACCTAGCAGCTTGTCTACGTGAAAGAGGAGAGCCATTTCTGCTCCCTCCCTGATATCTTGAATTCAGAGTAAACCAGAGGCTGTGTCTCAGCAACTCTGTGCCTTGTTCTAGACAATCAGGCCACCTCTCTGTGGGAGACTCTGAAAAGGCAAGGCATTAGTAATCATGTGCATTAAGCTTTTCTTGTGCTGCAGGTAAGCTCAGGTCCAACAGTTCGCCTTTGATTAGCAATCAGGCTTTTGAAATACAGCCAAATGACTGACATGAAAGATCATGTTGATCTTTCACATTTGCACATTCTTTTTCATTTTTATAAAACGTATTGGAGTAGAAATATAATTTCTGATTATTCAAACTTCATTGAAGAAAATCTTAAATTTTTTGGATATATTATGTGTATAATGATTTTATATGAGAAAATACTTTTCATATATATTTCATATATACATCTATTTGCTTGAACATACGTGTGTGTGTGTGTGTGTGTTTTAACACATTTCCAATATAGATAGATACTGTTTTTTACGTATACTATCTGATGTTTACAATCAAAGTTTACATAAATGTTAAAAAAACCCAGCCTCAAATAACCCCTTTGATCCGTCTACCCTAATTAAAACTTGATAGCAGCACGGAGGAATGATGTCTAGAATAGAGCACTTACATAATTGATGCAACTTAATCTCAAATGTATCAGTCCTGAAATGTGGTGCACGTTCTATAAAAAGCCAGTGTGACGTGCAGCCCTAAGCCAGTCTGCCCGTTTAGAGCTATAAGCCTGAATTGTTGAACAGCCACCACCCTTCATACTGTGAATTTTGTTGATTCCAGAGTGGCTCAGGATTTGGAGGCTTTGAGCTCTGGAGAAAATCATCACAGTGGAGCACATTGCCTGTCTCTTTATTTAAAGGTCCCATATTGTCAAAACTGAAATTTCCTGTTTTTGTTTCACGATAACTGGTCTAGGGGCTATTTAACTACCATATAAGTTTCAAAACAGTCAGTCCACAGTAAAATTCACACAGCCTGCATTAAGTAGCTGTGATTTTTCACGATCTGTTGTGACTTCCGTAAAAAGTTGACGTCAGAACTATACAGTCACCGCCTTCAGTCACCACCCCGAGCACTGCCCACAGTCCCACTCTACTTTTGCCAAACCCCAAACAACATCGCGTCCATGCCATTGCTGAGCAACGACAACATGGAAACATGTCGAAAAGGTTAACTTTAACGACGAAACCAGATCGGCCGACCTGTAACGTTACACTCTCACTCGAAGGATGGACGATCTGACAGGATTGTTACTATGAGGTGGATCACATCTAACGTGTATAGTAAAGACAAACTCACCGTGTCTAT